CAATAAGATTACTTTTTCTTTGTTATTTTGTGATAACTTTTGTTCTAATTTCGAAACTCTAGATTTGAGTTTGGTATTCTCGTTTATAAGGTGTGCAATATCTGTTTTATTTTTTCTATCTTGTTTCTCAAATATAGTTTTAAATTTAGTATTCTCTTCTTTAATCTGCTTTAATTTTATATTCTCTGCCTCAACCTTAGCATATTTCTTTCTAAGTTCAGTAATCTTGAGTATAAGTTTAGAATTTAATGCTCTTAATGAAGTAATTGTAGTTTGTGAATCTGCTATTGTTTTACATAAAATATGAATATATTCAAAATAAAAATATTATGTGTCTGTTCCAATTTATAACAATTCTCAATCATATACAGGTTAGTTAACATTGATAAAAGTCACCACATACACGTTCTGTTTTGGAATGCTGATTACTTTTGCCAGAAAAAATATCGACTATATATGATATTGATATCGATATCAATACAATAAATAAATTCACGAAATACACATGTAAAAGTAAATACAATTATATATGCGAAATCAAGTCACTAGGGCCAGCTTTATTGATATAAAAATAAAAATATAGAATAATGAATAAATTCTTCCTTATTTTATCAGTATATAGTGCTTGTGGCATAATGACACATTGTGGGTGTCATTTTACATTTATCATAAATCACGATGCCTGATTTACTGTAGGGGTCTGCAAATGGGCATGCCGGGCACATTGGCACCAGGCCATACACTAGTGCCTCATGCTATGCCCATGCCTAAGGCACAAAAATGCCAGACATTATTGTGGGCATGGACACTAATGTCAGGCATTTTATAGGCATAGGCACAATATGCCAGGCACTATTATGGCATGACACAGTGTGCTAGGCAAAAAGGTGCCAAAAAGGTGCCAGGCACAAGTGCCGGGCAAAGTGCCAGGCACAATTAATTAATAAATATTAAATTTTTGTGGCTGTGCCCATGCCAAATCTTTGTGCCTATACCCATGCCTATGCCAAATTTTTGTGCTCATGCCCATGGCAAATTCTTATGCCCGTGCCCATGCCTATGCCTGAATATTCATGCCCATGCCCATGCCTGTGCCTTTTGCTGGGCACAGGCACGAGCCCAGTTTGCAGACCCCTAATTTACTGCATGCTCTATCGTGGGTATTTCGTTAGAGTGTTCAACGGCCTATTAAAATCATATAGTCAGGGTTACTAATGATCATTACTAATTGCGGATTTTCTAATGGTAATTTTTGGGTTTACCTCAGAATCCTGATATTTAAAATTCCGATGCTCAAAATCCTGAAAATAAAATCCCGTTAGTATTAAAAATTGCTTTCGGGATTTTAAATGTTAGGATTTTGGATATGATAAGCTTGTATGATCTAACATAATTGTTACGTATTGTAAATTGAACCCCACATTAATATGATTATCGCTATAAATTTACCAAAATAAAATTATATTTGTTGAGGTAAATGATTAATCAAACAATATGCTATTTTTTTTTTAAATTGAAGCTCTAAACTAGCTTTACATTTAAATAGAGCTATTTTTTAACCTTTTTTTTTAAAAGGTAAAAGAATATTAATATTCGAAACCAAGAACACTAATCATTAGCGTTCTAAATATTTTTTATAAAAATATTAAAAAAATAGCTCTATTTCAGTGTAAAGCTAGACTTGAGGTTCAATTTAAAAAAAAACAATATTCTATTTAGTTAATTATTTATTTCAATAAATCTAAATTTTTGTTTTAATAAGATTGATATGTGTGTATTCGATTCCAATAAAAAATCCGCAATTAGTGATGATCGTTAGTGACCCTGCCTATAGGCCGTTGTACACCCTAGTATTTCGTACTAGCATTGGTAAAATTTACGATAAATTTTATTGTTTGTCGATCTTGATGGTTAAAAGTAACCAATGATCATTTTTCGCGGTTTGTTCCAACACATCACAAAAATGATGATTTATTGGCAAATAATTCTCAAAAGTCCAATTTATGATTGATTTATAGTTTAAAAAAAAATCACTTGTTTTCTACCTATTGGATGAAAGTCTAAAAAATGAATATTTCATATGGTCTCTTTTTAGCTTTGTATACATTCGGCATTAAAGTTTCATTACTTTTTTTTTATCAAAGAATTCTTCGCATATCCATTATAAACCCAGGAAGAACTCGTGAAGTAACCGTTTGAGGATTAACAAATTCTTGCCAAACGACATTGTTAGTATTAGCATCAAAGCTATAGATCCTCACTGTGGGCGGATTTGAAATCGGATCGATAGATATTCCTTCCTAGAAGGATATAATAATAATTAATAATAGAAAATAAATAATATATAGCGATCGATATCAGTATACTTACCTCAACTCCTGCATTAATCCATAACAACATTTTCCTATGAACATCCTGAGGTGAATTTCCCGCTGAACGCAATTCGATAACAAAGTTCGGTGCAACAAGCGGAAATCGCTGTCGATCTCTAATTGACAGAGCATTCCATCTACAATAATAAAAGGGAAATTAAAAAGTATTGGTACATAATACGCAAATCATATTGCAATAGATAACGTTTAAATACCTGGTTCTAAGTACAACAGAAGCATCGGGTCCTAGAATATTACCATCACGTAATGTATAGGCTCCCTAGAAATATATATTAGCGACATAAAAAAGGACTGTCAACTTGATGTTCGCATACCTGGGAACCGCCATGGTGTCCAACTAAGTCCTCGTTTGCGCGACACCAAATAACAACGTCTGCAATAATGTTCGATTCTGCTTCATCTAACATTTTTTTATTCGTGAATTTAGTAACATTTCAATTCGATAAACCTAAGTAGTGGGTTAGCAAGTTAGATACCGGTTTCGGAAAAAACTGGACTTGGAGGCATTATTTCAAGTTGACCTTGGATAAGATTCATTCGATAAAAGGAATGAGGATTTGCTAATGCAGTTTTTTCAAAAAGAATGTGATCACAATCGGGAATAATTAAATGCGGGATGTGGGAAGCCATTTGAAAAGTTCCAAATTTATTATGGGACTGTATAGTAGATTTTTCCACCTGAAAAAAAGATATAATATATAAGTGCAATTACGCAGATTTTGCCCTATATAAGCCATGAAAGTTTCGATATAAAATCAATTGTTATAGGGCTAAATATATAAAATTACTTTACTTCCTAGTTTATCGAATAAACATACCGATGTTAATGTCTCTTGTTGATTTTTTCGTCGACTTGAAACAAATGTACTTTAATATTAAAAGATTCTGTTAGGCTAAAAAACTACTTTCTTAAAACATTATATAAACACCATTCGTACTTAGAAGTTAGAAGTAAGAATACTTGATACCAAAACCAAAGAGGTCCAAGTACACTACAAAATATGAAAATAACAGGAGGTGCAAGAAGAAGCGCAAGCAACAAAAAAAAAGAATTTAGGAAGAAATAAAAAATTTTTTTCAAAAACATTTGGTAATCAGATCATACGACATGCAAAATTTCCATGACTTTCTAATTTATACTGGCACATGTGTGACATCAATTGTCACAATGGCCCCCCAGGTCACAGGCACGCAACTTATACTAACGGGATATAAATTTGATGAAAATAAAAAATTTTATTACTTATACCTAAAGAGATGCGATATCTACGCAATCTGCTTTATTGTTATCAAATTTTTAACTCACATTCACATTGCCTATATATCCCATCCGCTACTTTTTTGCAGGTTTTGCAATATAGGTGTGAATGATGATTGCATTCGTCACAAACCTTACACCCGCGCTTCCAACCTCTGAAGATATGCCACTTTTCGATATAATTGTGTCTTTTTTTATTTGTTAATGCATTATCGCTATTTGGATTTTTCATTATTATATATTACAGAAAAAATAATATATACGTGGCTAAAAAATTTTTTATTATACAAACCTGTAATGTGTGGCAGTTATGTTTATGATCAATTTACAAACAAATTATACGTGCACCTTATAGAGGTTGTACAATACGTGTCTTAAATAAATTATATAAATTATGCATAAGCCGTAAGGTAGTATTGATGATATGTACTACACGGACCTCAAACTGAAAGATCATAATAACTTTTGATTTTGATTGTATAGCAATGAAGTTTCGCTTCGAATTTACAACCGGACACATTATTGCGAAGCAATGACCCAAAGGGTCTTAAAAATCAAGTAATAATAGAATATAACTTTATTATAAGAATGAAAATGGGCTAGGGCGAGCTAAGTAAAAAACTCAAGAGTAGTGGACATTTAAAGGGAGGAATCACTCGAGCCCTAACCCATAAAATGAGAGTTCCTTCCCGCTACTCCGTATTATCTGCTAAGTTAAAATTATTTTTACTATCTATCCAAGCACCTATTTTATTTAAAGTACTACCTCTAAAATCACCATTATT